CAGCTAATATGTAAGCCAATTTCAGTGAATCACTGTAAGCTCTTCAAAGAAATTTACCTCTGTTCACTGCCAAAATTATAATTACTATAACTGACTCCACTTTGCATGTTTATGAATCTAACTTACCCTCTTTAGCATTATGAGCTTCATTTTTTTTTTTTTTTTTTGTAAAAATGATCCCAGTGTTTAGAATCAAGTATATAGAATATGTCAATTATCCTGGAGCATTTATTTCCACTCAAAAAGAGCAGAGAGGCCCAGACCTTTAACTTTAACTGAGCTACTGTCAGTTTTTCCCTGCACACCTAGCTCTTTACCACAACTCAGGTAACACACAGAAAACTCATATAAATCCTGGCAAAAGGGAAGGCAAACATGAATTCAGAATCAATAGCCATAAGCAGCTGCCATCCTTTGATGGGAATGAAGTTATTGACACTTTTGTTCTACTCGAATATTTTGTTTATTCTACTTCAAACGTTTGGACCCTTTTTAATCTTTTAGTTTCAATTATCTATCCTGAATATGTTAACTAGGATGATTATAAAGCACATCACTATTACAATAGATCCAATATCAGCATTTGTCCTGTTTCAGGGGTAGCTAGTTTATGATGTAACAAAGTTATTAATAAAGTCAATAATGCCAGACTTCAACAACTCATGGACAAAAAAAAAGCCAAATCCAAATTTACTTCTCAGGTCCTTCTCCAGGGTCTTCTACTCAATGAAATAAAGTTGGTGGCTATCAGAGGGCATCTGCAAAGCTGTTTTATGTCATTCCTGAATACGTCCCTTAAAATATATCCCTTTTTCCACATCATTGTCTGACTTTGGCAACTTAGCTGTAGTAGAAACAGAACATCTGCAAATGCAATTTAGAATCACAGAATCAGAAAATGTAAGGTTTGAAAGGTACCTTGGTGATCATCTAGACCAGTGTTTCTCAATCTCGGCAACTTTAAGACATGTGGATTTCAACTCCCAGTATTCCCCAGCCAGCATGTTTTTCCTCTCAGGCCCCTTACCATCTAGGTTGCTGTCCTCTGGAGATGTGCCCAGAACTGGGTGCAATTGTCCAGGTGTGATCTGACCAATGAAAAATAGAGTGGAATGATGACTTATCTTGAGTCTGACACTGTATGTATGCTGATACAACCTAGGGGTCGTTGTTGTTATTGTTTTGTAGCTATATCACACTGCTGGCTCATATTCAGTGTATGATCCACCAAAACACCCTGATCCTTTTTGCATATACTGTTGCTCCATAGGGGTGCCCCCCCGCCTAATCCTATATGCATCTTTCACTTTTCCTAAACAAATGTAAGACTTTGCATTTGTCCCTGTTGAAATGCACCTTGCTGGTTTATGCCCATTGTTGAAGCTTTTCCTCTAAGGTTTCTCTAAGGTTTTTGCTATTTTCTTCCCCACCATCTTTGTGTCAACTAGCTTGATAATCATATTTTCTAACCCTCATCCAAGTCATTTATAAATATGTTGAACAGCATAGTGCCTAAGTATGCCATTCAACACTTCCTTCCAACTTGTTATGGGGCTATTGACGTACATTTGTTGGGAATTCATTGTTTATGTATTTATTTGATTTGTAGCCCACCTTTCATCCAGAAGCTCAAAGTGGCATGCATACTTCTCTCTCTTTCTGCTTTTCCCCAGAAGAACCCTGTAAGGTAGCTTGAACTGAGACAGAGTGATTGGTTACCCAGTGAGCTTCCATGGCTCAGGCTGAACTTGAACTTGGGTTTCTCCACTCCTAGTTCAATACCTTCACCAGAATACCACACTGGCTTCTCCACTAGGATTTCATGTGAGACTTATTGTTGAATGCATTGCACCAAATCCCTTCCCTTAAATGTTGCCATCTTGTGGGACCTAGGAAGTGTGCCTTTTCTGTTGCAGTCCCTGCCCTAAAAACATCCTCCCCCTTTAGATCCACCCTACCCTTTTAACCTTCCAGAAAGCTGAGGTGTGAGGAGAACACTGTGGGCTACATTGAGGAAGTTCATTTGTGGCACCAGGCATTTCTGTTCTTGGTTTTATTGTTCTTGGTTTTTATTGTTTGTATATATTCTTTTATTCTTTGGTTGTGAGTCATCCAGAGTTTGGATTTAAGACAGGTGGCTATACAAACGTTTTAAATAAATAAATCTGTTTATCCAACCAGATCAAATAGGGGCAACTCTCTCCAGGTCCCCATCTCTACAGGGTTGTCACCTGACAGGGCCTTGAAAGTAGAAGTTTTCTGTAGTTGCCCCACTCTTGGGAACTCTCTGTCAGTGAAGATTCCATCAACTTTGTCCCTCTTGTGCTTTAGAAAAATTGAAAAGACCTACCTGTTTAATTTTGCTTAGGTGTGTTGTAATGAAGGTGGGGTTCAGAGGTGGATGGTGTTTGCATTTTTTAATTTTTTAAAAATATTTTTACATGTATTGGGGGTTGGGAGCCGTTGTTTTATATGTTATCATTGTGAGTTCCTAGAGCCTTTGGGAATGTCCACCAAGCAAGAAAGACAGACAGACATGCCTTCAAACTAACTGCTAGATAATCTGTTCCAGTTTTATCTGGCAAGCTGACTGTTCTGTATTTACCCTGATCCTCTTTCTTCCCATTTTAGGATCCAAGAACATCATTTAGCATTCTCCGGTCCTCTGGCATTATCCCCATCCACCATGATTTTTCAGAGATCACAGAGAGAGGCTCTGAGATAATACCCAAACCTTCTTCAAGACTCTCAGATGTAATTGGTCTGGTCCTGAAGACTTAAATTTATTTATGTTCCCTATGTGCTTCCTAACCATCTCTTGAGGACAGGCAGTTTTGCCTGGGGAGGAAGTCTCACCCCATCTCTCCTGAGCTCTGAATTGAGATGTTGAAATGCTATATTATCCTTACAACAGTTTTTCTAACTGAGTAGTGGAGTGGCTTTATCCCTCCAAATGACTACTCACATTTTTTTTTTAAAGTTCTGTTAAGAGAGCATTTGTCAGCCCACAAGGAGTTCTCAACTTTTGGATGATGTTGGTGTAGAGGATAATTGCAGGGTGTTTTGAAAATGATTCTGAAGCTTTGGAGGATGAATATAATAATTGTATGGAAGGACATAGAAATGGGGCTTTTTATTGATAGTGCCCCATCTGTGGAATGCCTTCTCCAGAGAGACCTACATGGTGCCTACTATATATTATTATATATTCAGTGCCAGGTGATGTCTTTCTTAATTTCCATGGCACTTTAAGAACCATTTTGTTGTTTCAGGGTGTTAATATTTTGTTGCTATATATTGTGCTTTGATGCTACTTTTATTGCCATTATTACTGTGCTTTTGATTTTTATCTTATGTGTTGTTGGGTTTTACACTGCATAT